GTGTTTTGCGATGAAGGTAAGACCGAGGCCTATATCAATATACAACAACTAACTTACTGTTGAAAGTGGGGGTAAAAGTACACTTTCCTGACGAAAAAGATGCCTGCAATTGTCAGGAACAGTAAGTTTGGTAATTCTCATTCCTTCAAAGTTAGAAAGAGGTGACACATATCAATTTTTTTCCAAAACATATTATGAAATATGACATTCTTGTCTATTATAACAAATTAAAAAAAGTAATCAATCAGTCACTCCAACTGCATTCCTGTACTTTCAGTAGATTAAAAGCAAACATAACGTTCGATTTGAATAATGTTAGCAAATGCTTGAGGCATTCAAAACAATCTTTAGTCATCAGTTAGTCTGTCAAATAATTCCCTTGATATCTAATTATGTTTAGCTTTAAAGCAGTCGGCGCATCTTAACATATGATAGCAATTCAGATTAAGAATGCAACAGACCTGTCTAGGGTTGAAATTAACTTTTTGATGTTACAGAGGCCTGGAGGCTTCAGGTGTTAACACAAACAAAATTCTCTCCCTCTTTTTCAAAAAGTGGAGAATTTTCCTACTATCTATGGTCAAGTAACATAGGATTTCGAATGGTTTGTTTGGAGGCTTCAAATCAGTATTCAATCAAGCTTTTTTTAAATCTTACAAGCAATGTGATCAGACAAATTTTGTCACCAAAAAGTATAGATGTCAAGTGTTATATCAAGAACAAATGAAGTAATAGAAAGTACTCTACACAGTACACACCATAGCTCCTACTGAGTTTGTTAAAAATTGTTTACAGACTAGATGGAACTTCGATTGCGCGCAGTTGAAATGATGCCTCCGTCATAGAGCAATTTTACAAACCAAGACAGAAGAAATTGTTCAAATTCAAGTTCAATTGTAATCCATTAACAGGTTCTCAGAATATCGTGATTACAAGCAATTTCTCATATACATAATATGACCCTTTGATCTTTGACCACATGACCCTAACATCTACTCAGTTCATTGGCTCTGCAAGATACATACATGATCTAAGTTTAGGAGGAATCCATCAATCTGTTCTAATGATAATGCGATCACAAGCTATTTTTGCATGCATAATGAGCCGCATGACCTTTGACCTTGACCTCATGACCCCAAAAGTTAATCAGTTCATCGGCTCTGCAAGTAACATACATGACCTAAGTTTGGCAGGAATCCATCGATCGGTTCTTGAGATAACGCGATCACGAGCTGTTTCAGCATGCATAATGAGCCCTGTGACCTTTGACCTTTGACCTCGCGACCCCGAAATCTAATCAGTTCATCGTCTCTGTAAGATACATACATGACCTAAGTTTGGCAGGAATCCATCAATCGGTTCTTCAGATAACGCGATCACGAGCTGTTTTGCATACATAATGAGCCCTTTGACCTTTGACCTTTGACCTCGTGACCCCAAAATCTAATCAGTTCATCGGCTCTGCAAGATACATACATGACCAAAGTTTGGCAGGAATCCATCAATCGGTTCTTCAGATAACGCGATCACGAGAACGGGACGTACGTACGGACGGACGGACAACCCGAAAACATAATGCCTCCGGCTACTTCGTAACGGAGGCATAAAAATAAAGTCTCCAAACCGACAAATATGAACACCCTGTTCTCAAAGAAAGAGAGGCGATCACAAATAAAACGTCATGGGCAGTTTTCGTTGAATTCATCAGAATGAAAAGAGAAACCTTACTGGCCCTTTTTTGTTTAAAACTGATAGATAGACAAGTACATATATATGATGACTTTGCAAGTATGTCCAACCTTAATAGAATTAACATTACCAACACTCAAGTTGTATGGATTGGGTAGAAACAAGAAATTACAGATTGTTAGAAATCCAAACAACATCCATATTTGAATAAATTTGTCATTTTCCGGTTGATATAGAGGTTGACATTAATAAGTTAATAATTAATTAGACAAAGAAATATAATAATAATAAACCGTCCTTATATGGCGCATATCACAAAAAATAAATTTAAGTCCCTATATGCGCTCAGAAAAAAGAAAAGAAGAGAAAAAATAACTGCTTTGTCATAACATTGTGCTAATTTAACTAACGAATAAATGTGTCTTTAAGAGACTCTTGGATTTTCTACTGTATCAACCTGCTTAAGATGTCTAGGTAATATATTCCACAACTCTGCAGCTGCCAGTCGAAAAGATCTTGCACCATAGTAATTAAATAATAATAATAATAATAGCTCACATTTATAATGCGCCTAATACTACGTTTCTAGGCGCGGAACATATTATTACCCCGGTCATCGGATTCAGGCTTACCCGCACACAAGGTATGCACATTTGTTGATATTGAGGGAGGAACTAAGGAGGATTTTGACTGAGAGCGCAGGTTTCTTGCCGGGTGATATTTTTTTATCAATTGTTGAAAGTAATCAGGGCCTAATCCTTGCATGCACAAGAACACCAATGTCAAAATCTTAAAATCAATTCATTGTTTTACTGGAAGCCAATGTAGTTTTTCTAAAACTAAGCTAATGTGATCATGAAGTCGAGTGCGAGTAACCAACCATGCCGCAGAGTTTTGGATTCTTTGCAACTTCTGAATTTCATTATCAGGAAGACCATATAAGATACCATGACAGAAATCAAGGTGAGAAACTATATGAGCATGAACAAGTCTTTATGTGGACCTCTTTGAAAGAAAGGGAAGAATTGTCCCAATCTTATGCAAAGCAAATGATGCTGCTTTGCAGGTATGATTCACATGAGCTGACAATGTCAAATGTTCATCTAGTCGAGGTTTTGAGCTGAGTTCGCTGAATGTATTTCAGCAAAGCAAATAATGCTGCCTTGCAGATATGATTCACATGAGCTGACAATGTCAAATGTTCATCTAGTCGAGGTTTTGAGCTGAGTTCGCTGAATGTATTTCAGTGCAAAGCAAATGATGCTGCTTTGCAGATATGATTCACATGAGCTGACAATGTCAAATGTTCATCTAGTCGAGGTTTCGAGCAGAGTTCGCTGAATGTATTTCAGTGCAAAGCAAATGATGCTGCTTTGCAGATATGATTCACATGAGCTGACAATGTCAAATGTTCATCTAGTCGAGGTTTTGAGCTGAGTTCGCTGAATGTATTTCAGCAAAGCAAATAATGCTGCTTTGCAGATATGATTCACATGAGCTGACAATGTCAAATGTTCATCTAGTCGAGGTTTTGAGCTGAGTTCGCTGAATGTATTTCAGTGCAAAGCAAATGATGCTGCTTTGCAGATATGATTCACATGAGCTGACAATGTCAAATGTTCATCTAGTCGAGGTTTCGAGCAGAGTTCGCTGAATGTATTTCAGTGCAAAGCAAATGATGCTGCTTTGCAGATATGATTCACATGAGTTGACAATGTCAAATGTTCATCTAGTCGAGGTTTCGAGCTGAGTTCGCTGAATGTATTTCAGTATTACCAAATGAAATGGTATCGATCCGTTTTTCAAGTCCATCTCCCTTAAGAATTGGCGAAATGTGAGCCTCCTTCAGTGAATCAGGAAAGCGTCCCAAACCAAGTTTGGAATCCTTGTGCTGACTGGAGCTAATTCCTTGATGCATTTCTTGAGGAAATCTGTTGTAATCGGGTCTAACTCGCAGGTAAAGGATTTGAAATGTGAACACTGCTTGGAATTCATCAAACTGAAAGCTAGTCTTCTGTGCCCCATAAAGTGGTCCTCATTGATGTTCCCCTTCACCTGGCTACCCATTCTTTCGTAGGCCTCATCTGTCTGCAAAAGAAAAAAATGAAGAACAAAATTAGAAAGATAATTCAAGATTTATCCTGATAAGCGTAACAAACTAATTTCTGCATTTTCAATGAAATGGAAGATATCTTGATTAAAAATATTGATACACACAATTCAGAGAGCAAATGAATATAATGTCATACATACAACAGCTAATTGACTATTAATAGTTGTGACTAATATATGTCCACCAGTCCATGTAAAGTAATGAAAATAATTCCCAAAATAAGGAATGGAATGTGATCCTGTATTAAAATCATTTGGATAAAACAGGTATTGTATATAGCCATGCAATTGGAATCTACTCTGGAAAGATGTTACAAGAACAAAGAAACTAGAAAGCACAATAATAAGGCAGCTGCATTTAAGTGCTGCATTTAAGAAAAATGATTTAACATTTTTCCACTTTTGAGAAGTATAGCAGTGCCATTCATTTCAAAATTTGGAATATCTTTGTTGTTATGATCTAAAATATAATGTTCATGATAGTAGAACATCATGGTAACACCAAGTGTTCTTGTCAACACGGTCCCAGGGAAGACTACTATCACTGGTCAAAAGGAGGGGAAAATTTTATGCAAAAAGACATATTTATTGATAATATATACAGTGGACCATCATTCACTATGGAAAACTTTCTTGTTTATTTATTGTTTTTTGTAATCGTGACAGAACAGAGTTAATTTACTGGTCCCAAAGAGTTTGATAAAAGGGAGGCCCCTACATATTGACCAACATTATAGGTTTACCACATTATTGTTTGAAAAATACTCACAACTTCTCTAAAACACCCTCCTTTTTTCTTCTTTCCAAACAGTTGACTTATCATAGCCCTTTCCATGGCACCTCTCATGTCTTCTTCATTGCTTTCAGAAAGGAGCCTCCTTTTCTCTGAAAACAAAAAAAGAAGAAATATGACAATGTAAGATTTGGTCTATGTGAATTGTACAGACAAATTAGAAACAAGATTCAAAACACTTTCCAAGGATAATTGAAAATAGTTGCTCTTTTAAACACATTTCAATGAGTGGGTCTGCCTGGCATAAGTATTAACTTGACAAATATTGAATGAAACAAGTACAGGAGACAATAGTATTTTCATGAATTTTCAATTAAACATGAGTCTAATTTGGGAATTCAAATAACCAATATGACACCTTAATATGAGGGTGAAACCACATAGCATGCACACAAGAATTTCTTACCAAAGGTTTGCTCTTTGTGGGCTTGGTGGCATATAAGATGGGTCATCGTCCTTTAAGTAAAAAGAAGCAAACAAATTCATTTCATAAATCACTTATACTAAAAAAAAGATGAAGATGTGTATCTGTTTATGAATTTATGAATGTATATATATGCAAACCTCAACCAATATAGAAAAGAGACAGAAAATGAGAAATTGCAATTAAACTATGCATAGAAGGCATGAAGCAGCTTTATTATACAAACATGACTTATTGACTTATATTGAAAATATATTGCTATTTAACTCTTTCTTAAAGGTACTATGTCCCTTTTGCAGCCAACCTCAAATTCTGTATAACTTTGCAGGAATTATGAATATGTCATGTATGTCCTATCTGTGAAATGTAAACGTTAGCAGTGCCCTAATATTCAAATTATGTAAGGAAATCTGTTTACTTGCTAGAGTTCACTGTCAGACACCATTGAGTGACTGACTGGCTTTTTTCTTCTTTGGTAATAACATAGTACATACAATGAGCTTTAAACAGTACATGAGCATTTGTCTACATCAATAACCCACTTCTTGTGATGGCCAAAATTAAACTGATTGAATCTTTGCGCAGCATAAAACGTATGACCATTCGGTACATTGGTCCGAAAATGAAGATTTTTTTACTTATTGGCTCTATAGCTCCTAAGTCAATTTGACAACTAATAGTCGTTATTTTCCCACTTGAAGACATTTTCGAGCCCCACCTTTTTTAGGGAAGTTCTAAATTAGTATTATCTTTCAAATGCCATTGGAATTTAACCTTTTCATTTTTTTGGCCTGCAAATGGGACATAGTACCTTTAATGGTCATTTTACAATGAAAGTCTGTGATTATTCTCACTGTGTGGCAGGAGCTGACTAAAATGTAAAGACGAGCAGGTAGAAGCTATGAGCTCACTTCATCTTATTCAAGACATTATGGCCAATATTATACTTATTGCTAATCCGACGCTGGGTTTAAGCTTGATCTAAAGACGAGTTTAACAAAGAGACTAATTAAACCACACTAGCAACGACTTAGAATGAGGTGTAAGCTGTCTCTTTGCTTAAAGGTAAAGACCAGTATTGGAAACGCCCCAATTTCAAAAAATGAAATGGAAGCTCTCATTACCAATCATGTGAAAGAATATGTTTGACTAATACATGATGATAAAAAATTTGCTGGGAAACCGCCTACTAATTCATATATTTGGTAAATTTGTTTCTCTCATGGTCTGTGAGAGATATAGGGTAGTCCCATATACATCTTTCTGTGTATAGTGCTTGTAACTTTACGAAGAATGGGCCAAATTTCTTATCATTTTGATGATTCCAGAACCTTGCAGATGCTAGATGCTAGATGATCAACCTTTTCTGATCGATTCCACGACGTTTCTTTCACAATACAATCGCATGACCATAACTGGTCTTTACCTTTAACATGATTAGACCAATCAAGGCCATTAAATATATAAGTGTTCAGAATTATGTGTATCCCATTTACATTCGGCATAATGGCATTACTTTTCACAGTTAATACATTGAAATATTAGTATTTTAACAGCATAATATTCATACATACATTTCTTACAGTAGATATGATGGAGGCGGCAACACAACAGGAAGGGGCCGATGAGTTGCTTGGTCTAGGGGTAGGACTAGGAGGTAATGCGTCATTCTTTCAAATCAAAGATACAAAAAAGATAATTTTACTTTCAAAATAACTTCAAAATTACTTTAAAATCGTATTACTTCTCATGAATAAAGTCAGCTGATTCAATTGGTTAATGATCTGATCATTTGCACACGGCTCCATTGCTACGACCCCTACCTCAACCAACATAGTAAACAACCTAGCCAATCTACAAGTACACAGATGTAGGTTTCCCAATGTGCAAACTATCTGGGGGATAAAACTATCCATGCAAAAGAGAACATATATGTGACGAAAAGAAGGACATGAATGACAGGAAGTAGGTATCAAAATTAGTCTAGGGGTGACAAAACAGTACTAAATTGTACTACAAAACACCTTCCACCCTCACTTTACATTTTGAAAAGAATGACAGATGACTGCCTTTTTAAACATAAATACACAGTCAAACCTGCTTTAGTGACCACCTGTCTACAAAGACCACCTGTCTACAAAGGCCACACTTGTTGTTTCCCTTGAAAATGGGTTTCTCATTGAACCATGTACTAAAGTAACCTGTCTACAAAGACCACCCGTCTACAAAGGCCACTTTTTGTGTTTCCCTTGGGTGGTCGCTATAGACAGGTTTGACTGTAATTCAAAACAAACAAAGTCATGTCAAAGTTAACTTACTTCATAAAGAAGGGTCCTCCTGACTGTCTCCCTGGCTCCTACATTATAAGTTGTCTTCTGCCTCCAGGCATAGTACTGGGCCGTGGTTCAAACACTATATGCCTTGTAGTTTGCTAGTCTTTTCCACTTACCGGGAGACAGCCTGCAAATTTTTTATTTTGTTTAAATGTAAAAGATGACTGTAAGAATGCATTTCTAGGTATTATGATCAAAATCATTACAAAATATCAATTATTTTTTTTCGAAAATGAAATAAAATAACCATATACTATACTTTTACAGAGCATTAAGCTTCACAGGTTCTGTGGATGCAGACATGCAATGTAACTAATGCATATTGCAATCATAATGACCAAATTTGCGCAGGACATTCGAGTTAATGGACCAATTAATCCCACAAAATTTCAGTTGAGTGGAATAATCAATTAAAAGCCAACTGTAGTCTATTCCCAATTATTTTGAAAATCTAAATCTTTATTGATAAGATTATTTTTTGGTATCATAATATTGAAATTACTTGCTACAAATTGTTTTGTCTTAAATACTTCACAGTTCATTTGTGAAGTATTTGCTTTGGGAGTACTGTGGTATATTAGTGAAGGCTCTTGACTCTAATAGTAGAGATCCTTGATTGGATTCAGTCTCGGTGCTAATACATCCTTGGACAAGGTGTTTTACCCACATTTGTCCCTCTTGACCCAGGTTCTAAATGGACACCTGGCAGTGCTGGGGTAATAAAAATAGCAGGGCCCTCAGAGCAAACATTATTAATCTGATGAGGCTAACCTGAGTAAATATACCATATTATTATAATTTGATATTCCCTTGGTTGAGTTTAGTTCAGCAAAAAGTAAATGAAAAGTAAAGCACCATCCTCTTCCTCAGAGAAAAGTTGATTAAACTTCTCAGTTATCTCCTGAACAGGAGAACCAGTGCAAAGATATTTTCTGTCAATGCCACTTGTTGTCACAGGAGAGTATGAATTAGATTCAATAGAATGTCTTATTTTGCCATCATTTTCTCAACAAGCATTCATCATAATTTTGATATAATTTCAGGGTACATATTGCAAATGAAATCAGTTGTGTTTAACTTTTCAAGATCTGTTGAAGTGATTTACTTTACCTCAATCACTTGCTTCCCATCTTGATTTTTGGCGTTCTGCTCATGATCTACTTGCATCTTGGCGACAACATCACTTCGTGGGCTCCATTTGTCAGCAAAATAAGAATCAAGTCGTCCCGTAGCATTTTTAGTTTGGGCCAGCTTACTGATGCTTCATGCCTTAGTTGATCTAATTCAAATACAGAAAAGTGAGAAAAGAGAAAGGAAAAATATCATAACATACATGCACATATCTTACATTAACGTATCCTGCAATTTGAAAAATAGTTGTGGATATACTTCTCCACAATTTTAAAGATAATATGATAATGTTAATCAAGAGTACCTGATAGTAATACGATGCTTACACATCACTGGCAATGCTCTCTCTTTAAGTGTAGCAAACTTTGCAAAGGACCTCTTTACGGGTTCTGTCTCTAATTGTCATTAGAGGACATCAAACAAAAGCATTTCTTCTCTTGATACCCATTAACGACTAAGAATTGAATTGAATATGAAAAATTAGCAAAAGATGGAAATATTGATAATCAGGTGACATGAGGAGGTATTCAACAATAAAAACAATACATGTGCACTTTATGAATTAAAAAAAGGAAACCATGTTATGGTACATGTTTTAATAGTGTACAGTAAATACTTTACACACCTGTAATTCCTGTCCTTGAAAAGGTTTTGCAAGGCTCCAGATGGTGTACTTATGTATTTTAGGCAGTGCATCAAGGTTCTTTCTCTGCTTTGGCTTTGGCATTTCTGGTCTGTAGCATGAAACAAAGCAAATGACACTTTTATTCATACCTGTTATACGGAAATCATATTTCTTTCTCAAGTTTTTCATTATTTACTTGCCTTGTTAATATTATGAAACAAATACACATTACAATGATTCTTCTTTCTTGTATGTTCCAAGGGAAATAATAGAAAACAATATAGAAATATGGTTTTATATCCGCTTATTACTACGTCAGTAACTTTGTATAAGAAAGAGGGTATAAAAAACAAAGCACAAGAATTATCATGAATCATTAAAATGCAATAATGAAATAGTTGCCAATGGAAAGAGAAAATTATTTAGGCAAGACAACATTTGTAAACATCCAGTCACATTTGTCTAACAGTCTATCAGATGATTTTCATTCTAACAAATAGAATCCACTTCATTATAGAATTTTCTAACAGAAGTGTAATTATATAATGTGTTGTCGAATACTAACCTTGCATGAATTTTTTTTCTCTCGTCCTTGCTCATCCCATGAACCGAAGAGAGGTGATTGGACAATCGGGTCAAATTTTTGGCTGTACATAGTGGGCAGTCTTTCGGTCTTTCCTGAAAACTGCCTCCTTCACTTCCCGAATGCTGTGTTCTCTTTGTATGGGAATCCTACAGGAAGAAAATTGAATTGATTGAATGGGTAATGCTTTTCATATGTTAACAATTGTTTTCATCACATATAAATAATTATTAAAACAATTTAGTTATGCATGCTCTGAATAAAAAATGATGCTCGTTAAGATGCCCAGCATATGGATTGAGGAAAACAAATTAATGTAATTCCTAATATTACTGATATTATAGCATGAAGGGGTCATGTGAGTTCCTTTTTTACACTCTGTTTGAAGAGCAGTAGTTTTCCTGATTTTCCATTTTTTTGTGCCAACAAGGGCATATTGGCTAATAATGTGGATAATCTTATTACGCATATACATTTGTTATTGTGCAAAGACCACTTGCTTGTTTCTCATTGCTGATTCTGAAATGTAACAAATTATTATTCTGAAGCAAAAAAACATGTAAACATGGCTCAAATTCCTTTTGTAACAATCTGTTGGATTAACAAAAGTATCATAACAAATTTAGCAAATTTACACAAAAACAAATAAAATTGGAAGTATGCTTTACTTAGCACGTGCAGCAAGAAAATATTTTGTTCAAATCAAATCAAATTGAATTGACTGTAGGCCTACCTTCCTGAAAAGAAATTCTGATAGATTACATCTGTAAGAGGGTCGTTGCAGCTAGCTTTCAGTGAACCATGCGTGACCTTCTCCCCTCTTATACTAGGTAAGCAGGGCTTAGTTTTTATTATGTTTTTAAATTGTTATATTTGATAAAATTGCTATGTTTTGTTCATATCCTGGTTAAACAAATTAGTATAACTACAGACTCTATAAGGCTTATGAATATGTTCAAAGAACATGATATTTATCGAAAATAATATCGCTAGTGACATTCGTTTGTCTCGCAATGTATGGTCAACAAGGGATCTAAAAGATCACGACATTCATACATACATTGCGAGACAAACGAATGTCACTAGGGTTATTATTTTTGATACGTTATATCTGCAATGAGTAAAGCAACATGATATTTGTTTACAGAAAGGTGTAATTTAAGAATGTTACGTTATAGCGGTGTGCCCAGACAAAATGAAGGGCACCAACTCAACTCCTCAGGCTGATATTGTCATCTGTGTTGTCCGAAGTCTTCATGCCCCCACTCATTCCGGCAACTTGTCTCAATTCACCCCCCCCCTCCCCCCCCCTATATCCTCAGTGGAAGCGCAGTGCAAGGCCCAATTGACCGTATGCACAAATGCATTCTACAAGTACCATGTACATGCAGGCATAGCCTACTACGCATCCAATTCATCTACGTGTAATCAAAGAGATGATAAGTCACAGCCTCTTAACATTACGCAGGGCTTAAATTAATCCAAGGCCATCCAAGGCCAGGCCTTGGATGCCCCTTTGATTGGCCTCAATGCCCCTCTCATTGGCCTTGGAGATTTTTTGTGCCCTTTCCAATTCTTCCCATTGGTGCTGTAATATAGGAATGTGCCCTACAGAAAAGTGGCCTTGCCCTAAAAATGTTGAAATTTAAGGCCTGATTACGTAACATCTTTCTCGCCTTAGATTACACCTTTCTGTAAACAAATATCCTATTCCTTGAACATATTCATAAGCCTTATATTATACTAATTCGTTTAAACCAGGATGTGAACAAAACATAGCAGCAATTTGATCAAATATAACAATTCAAACACAAATAAAACCCTAAGCCTTGCTTACCTATTATAAGCGGGATGAAGGATATGGTTCACTGAAAGCCTGCCACCAATGCGCCCTCTTACACATCTATTTAGTGATGTTTAAAAATACAAACTAAAAACTATTTTGACGTAGATTGTAGTGTAACATTTGTAATTGTCATGCAACCAACACAATAATTCATATTTTTTTATCAGATTTCCATGTGTTTAAAAGATAACATATCAATGATATCCCAGCTGCAAATGACCATATCTCATCAAAATTTTAGTTAGTTTTTAACGACAAAGCGGTGACTGCCACTATTTTTGTAATTCATGTGGTCACTGGTGCTGTTAATAGTTTTACTATTACTAGATCTAGCTAGCCTAGGCTCTAGGCTACTAATGATGACAGTAAATTATCCGTTCACAGAATTACCCAGTCTTCTTCTTCTTCTTCTTGGTTTCCTCCAGGTTTGGAGAACTGCGGAGTGTATCCTTCGCAGAATAAGTAAATAGATAGTAGAGACAATACAAAACTGGGTATATAATATCAAAGATCACAAGACATGTAGATGACAGCTTATGCAGGAGCTGCTTTGTTCACAACAGAACGTTTACTGTGCATATCTAAGATGAATGTTAGGGATGCAGCATGATAATCCAGGGCCTGGGCAGTTATGGGTGGGTCGTCGTTAACTCCAAGGAGGATGAGATTTGTGATGACGACGGCCACGAGATGAGGAGGAACTATGTGATGGGCAGCCCTATAAGGTCAGACTTGAAACTGAAGCTATTACTCATTTATTGCTTAATCTTAAAGTATATGTGTCCCAAAACTCTCATCAAATTTTGAGCAAAAGCATTTTTAATTTCTACAACTACAAGAAAAGGTGGCAGTGCAGTGTAATTTTTGTCTTTTGACATTTCAAAAACAAATGTACCCATGCAGCACACTCATTCAATTTACGCGCAGTTCATGATTATTTTTTTTACATGAAAGACACCTATACATGGCACTTTAATCTGGGAAATCCTTGAAAGCTGTACTCAAAGTTTTAATTAGGCATTCCAATTTCTAGTTAGGTCTAAATCTTAATCACACAGAAACGGACATATGGGCCAACAACTAAACAAGATCTAACGATACACTCAACATTGCAGTTAACTAGATTTAATAATGCCTTTACATTCAGTTTACACTTTTCTCCTGGCCCATTTTGATGATAGAACTTAGAATGACATTGAACATACTTAGAAAGTTACCAAGGACATGATTCAGTATTAAGTTAGATCAACTTAACGTCTTGCTTCTGCGCAGATATTAGTCGCACGATGAAGCACCGCATGATGAATGATACATGGTACGCGTACATATGGCTAATCTGGCCTATTTAATTTTGATCTCCACACACCAACTTAACGCTACCTCTTACTACTTACTTGCTCCCAGTCGATGATGGCGTGATCATTGAATTAGGACGCCCGGCGATTCAAAAAATGAGGGCATAGTTTCCAAAAAAATGCACACTACATAAAATTTTGGGCACAGTTCATACAGTTTTTGGTGCAAAGTACATTGGGATATCTCTCTCTCTCTCTCTCTCTCTCTCTCTCTGTCTCTCTCTCTGTCTCTCTCTTTCTGTGCGTGTGTGTGTGTGTGTGTGTGTCACTCTGTCTCTGTCTCTCTTTCTCTCTTTATTTCCTCTACCATTCGACTGGGGTAGACCCCTCGTACACCTTTAAAAGACTACTCAAGCTCATATGCCCTTGTTACTGTACTTACTAGAACTGCCTTTGTGTTTTATCTGTATTGTATTTAATATCTCTGTTATTATTTTCATCATCACGCCTATCACAACTTATTTACCACAAAGTTATTCATTATCATGTCATATCAAGACAGCTAGGTCAGTACAGGGATATGTGAGTTTAACTCACATATCCCTGGTCAGTAGCACAATGTAGGTTTGCTCTAAAAGGTACGATAGGTAACCCATTTTGCAAATGAGAAAGAGACCCCCTTGCTTCGTGAATAAGAGGTGACTAGTTGACAGAATATAAACAATAAAGATTCCACAGTGGTAGAATAATGTTCGGGGATAATAATCATAACAAGATAGTATTTATATTGTGATTCGCTACATGATTCTTGACAGCAGAATAAAAACCTCGTGAGTTATATACTCATGCGATACCATTATACAGTCATGTTAAAACTGCCAAGGAGCAATCGGATATGATATTGAATATGCTATGAGGTTTGAAACGATCACAATTAAAAGAAAATGCTCAAAATTGTTGAAAATCACAAGCACCGCACACGAAAATGGGTACAAGGGATTGCAAACATATGGCATGAAAGTTTGGTCCAAACGAAAATTAGTGAAGAAAAAGAAGAAAATTTGATACACTGTTCTGTTTCATGAACACTGGTGAGTTTACACCTAAGTTAATAGATCTCCATTTTGAAATTTATTACCTATGAATTATCCGTGAGGATACAAAGTCAGTATTACACTATAATGCCAACCTTTCTTCCCAAATTCTGATAAGAGTCATTTCTCCATATCTTAGTACCTGTCAAAAATCTTGATATCTATACATAGTAGAAATATTGTTATTATATTTATGTTGTAGTGCTTATATCCACCAATTAATTAGTTTTACTAACAATGTATTGCGGTCCTATCTTATATTTTTATAGAAACGATATATATTTTTCACCAGCTGGATAATGCAGGAGTATACTTTTTTTTTAATATCTTAACAATATCATCGCTTATAATTAAACCTATTGATTACAAGAAAAGGCATCAGTAGTCAAATAAAATTTAAACATGAAACGTGACTGCATGAACTACTGCTCTACACAAAATACTCTTCATGCACATCTACTTTTCTATTTTTCTTGGGGATATAATGGGAAAACCGTGAATTTTAACAGTGCTTCATTTTCTATATAAGTAGGATGGTGGATTATGTAATACCAACCAAGAGACAAAATTCATGTCAATTATCATAATTCGCCTTTTTAAGACACGGTTAAGAGTAAAGACTGTATAACCCTAATGTCAAAATTTCATATTAAACACAACATTTTCACATGTGTGTCATCTTAAAAACTGAACTGATGAACTTTCTGTCTTGGCATTCTGTTAATTGCACAGCACCATCTCACGGTCAACGTGCCAACACCAAGTAACCAAATAAGTATTTTCCACTTCGCAGACAGAGGACTAATTTGGCGAATAGCAATTTTTATGAATAACCGATAATCTCGGTTGATTCGGGGTCGATTAGGAATGGGTCAATAATATGTTTCCGGTGGGGATTCCCTTATCCTTGAAATCCCTACATAATTTGTTGGTGTAGTGATTCTCGGGGGCCTAATAAAGATAACCGATACCCATTCTCCTCCGCAGGCGCGTAGGCAGGGGGGAGGGGGTGTTTTGGGGTTAAACCCTCCCCTCGATTATTTTTGTTTTGCTGAATAAAAAAAGTATAAAAAAAGTAATGCTCCTTAACCGCCCCCCCCCCCCCCCCCCCCACTGAGCGAATATCGGTTGACTCGGGTTCCCATTAAATAGTGTTCACTACCCCCCCCCCCCCCTCTTGCTGTTCGGAAAATAGATATATTGATTAATTCGATTCATAAACAATGAACATATATCCAATGGTGCGTGTTTGCATTAGTCTCATGCTTTGTGTGATATTTTTATTATGCTATTTGGAGGATTTATGGTACGCTTATCTTTATCAACTTGTCCTCGTTTATTCCTCTTTCCTTATTTTCCTTGGCAATTTCTCTTTTTTATACTTTTCTGGGTGAAAAACATTAATATAAGCAATCAAGTAATGTGTTATGGTGGGTGAATTCAAAGTACTCTAGCCTCATGAATAATCAACATAAGAAAAAAACAGTACGCCATAGCTAAAACGCACTCCAGCAAAGCATAGAGTCATTGCTAATGCATATTGGCCCTTCAGCGTTGTACTACGTGCTGAGAGGCAGCAATTACACACAATACACACAATTGCAAACGAATGTACACAATGGATACGATGTGGCTGAGCGGCAAGTTTGAAAGTAGATTCACGATTTGAATTTTCAAATATATTCTTTCTAGCATCGGTAAGTTGAAAATATTGTATTTTACTGCTATTTAGGTGTCATCAATTGTCACCAAAGTGCCGATTTCTAGTGAACTCAGTTGAGTTTTGTACAGTAGTGTTTCAAATGTTGAGAATCAATAGAAGAGTTTTTAATACACAGCCAGAATAATAATGCAGCTTTGTGTGCTAAAACGTAGTTTGTAGCCCCACAAAATGACGGTTATCGTCAATATCCGCATCCCCCCCCCGTAAAAAACAATTGCCTATTATGCCACCTGGTAATTCCCCCTCCCCCTAAAGAAATGTTTGCTCCTTACAATATATACATCATGTTCGGGTTACGTAATAGATATATATTTATATCATTGTCATAAGATAACAAGAATAAAAAGGATACTAATAATATGTCTCATTTACCCGGAGTTACCTTATAGCATTTCCCCGTACATGTCGCTGCGGCAGTGGCGGATCCAAGGGGGGGGGGGCGGGGGGCCCTGCCCCCCCCCCCCCCTTGAGATAAAAAATCATGTAAAATCACGTGATTTTTTACCTTTTTGGGGGGTTGGGCCCTGGCGCTCAAGGGGGGGGGGGGGGGTGCAAATTGAAATTTTGTTGAGGATCAAAAAAAATGTGTGCTCTGATCCCCCCCCCCTCCCCCCCCCCCCCCCCCCCCCCCCCCCCCCACTGAGCGACTTTTTCGGCCGGCGCGATTTTCAAATTTTCGGGAGCAAAAAAAAAAAAAAGTTGGGTCGCCTCCTAAGAAATCCTGGATCCGCGCCTGCGCTGCGGTGTTCTTTGTTTCTATTCCTACACACTATCCTCAAATCCGAAAGCTCCAAAGGATTTACCTCTCACAAATTGGAAGGCTAATTCCTGCGTAACCTAATATTCATACCCTTTACAAAAGTGAACAGTGCTCACCCAAGCATGAATTATTTTTGGACTTTTTGGTGTCTAATGAAAGTTGAGTTTAAGAGCTTTCCATACATATAAAACTTTTCCCCCAGAATTATATAATTTGTTATTCGGCAGCCATTTCAAAAGTGTATATTTTTTTTTGGGACGCACGGTATGTTAGGGAAGCCGCACGGTGGATTCTGAATTTTGGGGCTGCGGCTGCCGTACGGCCATTGAAGTGATGACGCACGGTCGTCTTAGGGCGTCCCTGAGGCGGCCATAGCTCTTTGACAATTACTAGGGTAGACGCAAGGCAGCCGCAAGGCGGCTGAAGGGGGTCCATACGGCGACCGTACGGCCAGACTGATGCTACCACTTCACCCTGCAGTATATAAAACGCAAGGACACCGTACGCCCGACGTACGGTCGCCGTGTTATCGTTCTACGGCATGGCTGGACCATCAGCTTAGAGGGAAGGTGATATCCACAATCTCTTCGTCCATGCACACCGTAGAGTTGGAAGATGGTAGACAAGCATGTCGCCACGTGGACCTTATGGGACACTACTAGTATACTCTAGCAAGAGAAGCTTATACACCCGCCACGCGAGAAGAAGTGATTCATTAACCGCTTTGTCCACAGACAGAGGTTTAGCCAGAACAAGCACATAATTCAAGCCAAAAAGAAACGTATACAGCAAGTAAATATATTATGCGAAGGTGTCGACCCATCACCTTGATAATAAACACTCTAACTTTGAAACTGAAACAGCTGACCATCCTGTCCAAGCAGAGCCACTCAGTAGCGCTGGAAGTGATGTTGCCCCGGGATTTTCAAAAAAACTGATAATTCCATGTCGGGAAGGAAAGTGTCGAAACAGACAAAAAAGACACCTTCAAAATGTCATGATTTTATTATATACAGATATATGTCAAAAAATGAAGACACGGAAATTTGTAGGTTTTTGCTTGGTTGCAGACATGTGCAGTTTATTGATTTTACAATCACTATAAATCCCCATTACAAAGTCATGTGTACACAAAATAAATGTACTTATAGGTAATTACTTTACAGATATGAATCTACAAAAGCATCATTTGTGTTAGTAATGATGAAAAATTACAAATATTTGCGATATGCATTATCAAGTTTTTTCCAAGTAAATTGGTTTGAATCTATGGAAGGAAAGTTTAAATTTGATTAATTGGTTCGAAATGACAAGATATCTCATATCGTTAGCTCAATATGAAAATTGTTAATTAATTAATTGTCATATTTGCTTACACACTGAATTTGTGTCAGTTATATATATTGCATCTCAATGTGTTTTAAAATTGTTTGCAAAGTTGTATAATTACATTT